CACACCACCCACAGCCAGCCACACCTACACCCAACATTTACCAGGTGGACTCGATGAAATTGAATGTGGTCCCGAATGGATTTGTAAACCAGTTTGGAAGAAAGGACGCACTCAACAATCAAGCTCATGCATGGATTCATCATGTTTTCTTGATGGAGACTATGATTTTCTTGATGGAAGTGACGAATTATCTGACGATGCACCGTGCATTCATGGACCACATCTGTGAATCAAGTGTGGAAATAATTACAGTACTGAAATCGGGTATGAACAATTCGACAACGGCAATAAAAACTATTGGGACGCTTGAAGAACAACGAATGTTGAAATACAATGACGGTGAAATATTGAATGATCGTTTCTATTGTCGAAAAGATGATCGTTGTCTGACGATTTCAAAGGTTTGTAATGGTTTTCTTGACTGTTCTGTGGTTCTCGTGGTGGGTGTAAGAATGGTTCATTTGCCTGTCTCGATAAAACCATCAATGGCACGTGCATTTCTTCGAGAGTTGTCTGTAATGGCAAGAAGAATTGTTCAAATGGACGCGATGAAAATATATTGTGCTGGTGGAAAGTCAAACAGACGAGAGACAGTACGAAACAAACTCCTTCTGGTAAGATTCGTTCACTTCAATCCAAAGTAAACCAGAGATATTCTCAACTTATGTACATGTATTGCATAAAAGACATACCTAACTGATTTTTTGCTTGTTCTCTAAAATAATGAAATCAAGCTTTCTAATGATTGACTCATTCCGTCAGATTACCCACAATGATTCTTTTATTCTATTCGGCATTCACTGAATTTGCTAATCGGAGGCCTGCCATAATGAATATTGAAATGTATGACTATTAGTACTCTACAAATGAGAGCTGCTGTATTGAACACACAAAGCCAATCTTGAGACAGTGTCAATAAATTACGGGTTGCGTTTTTTAGAGACTAAAATCAATGAAACTTTCCAGTCTGTTTTCATGCGTAGCCTTTAGAAATGCATCTCAAATTTCTTAAGTGAACATGAAAAATATCAGCAATCTTGAAATCGATATGTTACTATTGCTTGTTGCCAGGATGCGAATAGCAACTCTCCATTTTTTTTTGTATCGAATATTTTTGAGAACTACCTGTATCTCGTCAATCTAAAAATATCATTTGTTTCGAGATACGCAGCAACATATTAGCAATGCTTTTCATTATTGTCTATCATTTTAGAACAACCAATACAAAGTGCTGACAGCAGAAGCACAGCTGAAAGGGAGCTATATGATAATGAAGATATTGATTTAATTTACAGATGGAGCTGTTCTGCCCATGGCGTAAATTTCTGCGAAAAAAACGCGTTCTCAAAACGCATTTTTCCATAGTTGTGAAACGCGTTAATGCTGACCGGTTTAACGCATTTCGCATCTGCTAATACGAACGCTGTGAAACGATCGTTTTTCTAAAAACGTTTCGTAGCGTTTCTCTAACTGTGGTGTCGTATATTCTAGATGGAAAAAAATGAAAACCGTCAAGTACTTCATGCACTTTGAGTTGCAGATACAATTAATTTACTCGCTTACATTTTTCATACGCCTTTAGAGCTATAACTTAGATCAATTTTGATAAAGCCAACACATAGATTCGAACACAAGAACATAAGAGTAGAAGACATGTGCACAAACCGTTCAACTAAAATAATCTAATGATACAAGTGCTTATTCTATAGTCTTTCAGAGTCTTCCGTAAACTTACTAAATTAGATTCTCAGTATCCCAAATCATTAAATTAAAAATTATCATTTCCTTGGTGCCTATACCAAATAACGAGCTTGATCTCCTCTTGGTATACTTTTTATTTGAACTTATTTAAATTTAAATTTAAATACCCAATTGAAACGATTTTAATTAATTTAAATTGTATTTAATCTTTAAACAAGTTGAATCTCTTAGATATAAATTTTAAGAAATTTAAAAATAAATTTTTTGAATTGTTTTCTTTATTTGATAGATTTTTGTATATGTAAATTCGTCATCCTTTTATCCAAAAGTATCACTAAATGCAAAGAATCTTCTTTTGTAAATCGAATATTCTTTTTATTAATAAGTCACGCTTACATTAACAAAGTACGAACTAAATCCGTATTTAATAGTATTGTACACAGTATCATCAGTCACTATCAAGTAGTCCAAATATGAATTCATACCAATAATTATTCAAATTATAAATAACTCGAGATTCTTTTCTTCACAAATAAACAAACAAAGTTGTCGTACACATTATACTAACATCAGTCTTTACTAAATCTTTTCGAATTGTTCAATATTTAAAACAATGCTTGGTTGAACTTTACGAAACACGTTTTCTTTCAATAAAAACCTAGTGAAATGAGTTTTCAAGGAAGAAAAACATATTTTTCTTACACTTTGATGTTCAATATTAGTCTAACTACCAATCAGACTTATATGACAGTCTAGCAGCCTAAACATTTAGAAGAATTCGATTTTAATTTTGCGTTTGGAAAGTTTGGGTCATGATTTTCATGTTGAGAAACAGTGCAAGGAACAAAATATTCAAATCCCATTTAGTATAATTTCTAAAATAGTGCCAGAATTAACGTTGCTTAACTCGTACGTTTTGTACAGATACATTCCTACAAGATTCTGTATGCAAAACGGATATATTTTGCATCATTTCAAACAAAAACTATGCAAAATGCGTTTGAAAAGGAAACGCGTTTCACATTTCTCCGAATCTGTGTCTCTGGAACGCGTTACCTATCGACCGAAATGCGTTCGACATTATTTTACTT